AAACACCTCAAGAGGAGTTTGCACATTAGTTTGTAGGATATGTAAAAGCCATAATTTTTTGGCAATTTTACCAACTGGTACACATTTTCCTTTTGCATTGGAAAGGAAATTATAAATAAAAAGAAATGGTATTGTGAATAAAATATGAAAGATTCTATTATGCTCAGTATTGTCAAAGGGGAATGAAGATTTGATTAGTTAAGCACATTTAGTAACTCACATGTTTGAATATTAAATATTCCCATTTTTTTGAGAGCCAATCTCATTCTATGAAGTTTCATGACTTTAAAATCTTATGAAACTAGCTTTGTGCAGTGTCAGGATCATAGCCAATGAGGTTTATCTGAGGCACGATTATTGCTAATTGAAAATTTTGTGAAACTGTCCTTATTCTCACCTGTATCCCTTATTGTTCGCCTTTTTATTTTATTTATTTTTAAGAGAGATTTTTGCTATAGGGCATGTGTGCTCACAGGAGAGACAAAGAGAAATCGGAAATCACCCCCCTGGGGGGATGGCCATGCTGCAATCCTTTCTCCGCCATTCTCCTCTTGGGATTTTGGGCACACATGCACTTGTGCCAGGTGTGAGGTTTAAGCTACCACATGTCTGAGACTTGAACTATGTCGACTACATGGGAAGCGACATAACCATTTCACCATCTCTTGGTCTCTGTCCTTTGCTTTTTTTTAAGTTTATTCATTTATTTTTCCATGAGTAACAGAGAAAGAGAAAGAGTAATACAGCACCCCCAACAGAGTCTAATGCTGTAATCCATGCCCATCCTTCAGCCAGCCCTGGTGCATGAGCAAGCATGTATCTGGCTTACTTGGGGAGGTCTCCATACTTGAACCAGGAACCTTTTTATGTGGGATTGCCTCACAGACCATTGTGTTTTACTGCTGCACCACTATTTGTTCCCCTGCTCTTTGCTTATTTTGTTATCTAGAATATCCAGATGGACATTTAATAAGAGTATTATAATAGAATTAATCACAGTGTATTTTTTCCCAACAATTATAGAAAGAATAACCATTGATATTTGTTAAAAGTAAAATTAATGCGATTGAATGTATATTACCTTCCACTCTTCTCAGGTAACATACATTATAGGAATGGAAAGGAAAAGCAGTTTCAAAATTACCTCATACTTGGGTCCAGACAGTGGTATGGCACTGGAACAGCTTTCCCACAAGGAAAGGGTCCAGGATTTATGTCCCATGAATTCCCCATGCACTTACTCATGCCTGTGATCTGGGCTGGCTGAGACCAGTGGTAGAACACAGCAAGGAGAGTCCATTAAGGGTACCTTTCTCTCAATCTCTCTCTCTCTCTCAATCTTCACCTCTTACAGAAAAAAATAATGGATAAACTCAAAAAAAAGTTTTAAAAGATGATATCAAACATTACATCTTATAAGATCTTTCCATCAAAAAGCCATTCAATTTTATCTATATTAGAATTCTTTTTTATGTAAGTCCAATATACATCATGTTAAGTTCTAAAAGATTAAAATAAATTCTAATATTTAATTACCATTTTTAATAAATTTAAGCCCAAAAGGTATTTTGGTTGAGATTTATAAAGGCTAAATTTTAATCACTTAATACATGTTAAGACATAAGCTCTAAAGTACTCATGAATTTTTAGAAGGCAATGAACTTTATCTCTTTTAGAATACATCAAAGCAATGGACTATTTTTTGCATTAGTAAGAATTAACAAATTTCTGTCATAGTTTATTAAAATCATATAATCATTATGTTGCAGGCTTATTGTAACTTAAATGTATTTTGCAATATGTAGATTGTGTCTCCAATTTGGTTGGGTTTTTAAGTTTCATAATTAGTTCACTGTTTCTTCTAGAACAAAAAAAAAAATCACACGGCCTATTTCTTTTTTTTCTTTTTCCTTTTTTATTTTTAATTGCTCATGGACTTGCCAGGGGAAACAAGTGAGAACCAGAGAAAAAAGAAACAAAGGAAAAGAGAGAAAATGCACCCTATGATGGGGCATGACCACATTGCACTTATTTTTTTCCCTTTGTTTCTCCATGCCAGCAGGACTTCAAGGATGCATGCACACATGCCCAGTGTTTTGTTTTGTTTTGTTTTGTTTTGTTTTTCCAAGTCACTAGAGCCAGGATTTGCAGTTGGTTATGTGGGATCTAGCTCTTGATGCATATTACTTAACTGGTGTGCTATAAGGTCAGCCCAGAACATGGATTTTTAATGAGAAATATGTGATTTGAAAGGAAGCTAAATAAAAACTAGAAAGGTAGAAGTCAATAGAAATGTACCTTTTATTTCCATCAGAAAAGGCTGAGACCCCTGTAGGTAGACTCAGACTACCTTCACAATTGGGAATATTTTCATTGCAGAACACTCTGGTGTTTCTGACTCAACCACTGGTATTTTATATTAAATAAAGAATCCAAGTCACCCTGGAAAGTTCTGCCCTCTTTAGTTGTCCTAACTTATGAATATGCATTTAGTCTCACTCAGATTATTCCTAGTTGTTAAGCATCTGAGAAGTAAATTAAAATTTGAGTATCATGACATTTTTGCAGCCACCTCTATTGTTGCATTAGCACATTAAAATAGAAGATTTTAGCATTTTTTTTTCCAGATCTTTTGCCATAGGACATTTGTGCTTGCCAGTGAGAGACAAAGGGAAAATGAGAAATCACCCCTGAATGGGGATGGCCATGTCACAATCTCTTCTCCTCCATTCTCCTCTCAAGACTTTGGACATGCATGCGACATGCTCAGTGTGATCTTTAGGTCACTGAGTACAGTACTTGAACCACAGAGTCGCCCATGTGGGATCTGGAACCTTAACCACCATGCCACTTGCTAATCCCTTGAACACATTCTTAATTTGGTGATGAAGACTTTACAAAAGAAGAAATGTGAGAGGCAGTTTGAAGTCTGACCTGCAGCCCTTTGAATAATTGTATCAACATGTTAATATGATTTTAGGGTAGAGAGTGGGAAATATTAAGTGTGTTATTTGAAGAGATTGTGGTTTAAGCCTTAATTGCTTAGTCTTGATTGATCTGTTTGGTTGATCGATGACTTGCTCCATCTCCTTCTCTCTCTCTCTGCTAAACATTAAGACAGATCCTTTCTTTTCAAAGATTTTTGCCATAAGATACACGTACTTACCAGAGAGCAAGTGCAAAGAAAGAGAGAAATAATCTCCCAGAGTGGATGGCTATGGCACAGTCACTTCTCTTCCATTTAACTCCAGGGATTTTGGGCATGCACAAACACACACTCAGTATGATTTGTAAGTCACCAGGTCTAGGACTCAAACTATGGTTGGCCATGTGGGAGTCCAGGACCCCAACCACTATTCGACCTCCTGGCTGAGGAAAGATCTTTTTTAATATTCTACTCTACTACTTGTATTTTTTCCCATAATAAAAATAAAATAAAATAAATTATAGGGCACAGTAGGTGGCATACTGGTTAAGGTGTTGGACTCCCATGTGGCTGACCACAGTTCAAGTCCTAGACATGGTGGCTTGAAACTCATACTGGGCATGTATGAAAACATGCCCAAAATCTTGAGAGGAGAATGGAGAAGGGAATGACATGGCCATCCCCTCAGGGGGTAATTATCACTTTATGCCTCTCTGTCTCTGTCTTTTCAGTGAGTATACCCACCCTATAGCAAGCAATCTCTCAAAAAATTATAATCCAATCTAACTGCAGACTGAAAACCAACCTAAATTTAAGGATCTTAGAATTGGGTGAATATTAGAATCACCTGGGGAGCTTTGAAAACCCCAAAGTCCAGGTTGCACTGTGCACAACTAAATCCATGTATCTGGAGTTGAGATACAGACATCTGTATGTTTTCAAGCTCCCTAGATGATTCCATTGTGTATCCAGTGTTGAGAATCACTTTTCAATAAGTTATTCCTGAGCTTCTGAATTACCTTCATTGTAAGATAAATTCTTTCTATTAAAAATAAAAATTCCTACAAATTGCTGTCTGTAACTTATACATCCTAGTATACAAATACCCTCATCATACAATTATGACTTGAAGGAATTTATATCTATAGTACTATTCAAAAAGACATTTTATTATCAAGACTGTGTCTTCATTTTACATGATAGTTACTATCTTTAGCTACTGCTATGGAGATGATACCTACGCTACCTAGAATTCTTAAACTCTGGTTATTCAAAAAAATTACTTGGGGACTTTTAAAATATAAATTCTGCATGACTGAGTTCTCATCAGGTTGAAAATACCCACCACTCTAATACTAATAATGGTACATTTTGAGTAGTGAATTACTTCCTCCCCCTCCTCCCAGTTATCCTCCTACTTATTGCTCTCTTTTCCTTCCTCTTCCTCTATTTCTTGATTTATTAATTAAATATTAATATGTTTGATTTCAGTTAATGTTACTTTGTTAAATAATCAAACTAAAATAGATCCCTTAAATTTTAGTCAAATGTGAATATTTGCTCGAATATATGTAATTTTCCCATTTGAGAATTTAGAAGTATATAAACTTGAAATAAACATTTAAAACAGCATAATAAAAAACGTAAAATATATTTTCTTATTATATATCACTGCTCCTACTTTTAAAAATTATTTTCCTTACAGTTTCACTGTTTTACTCAAATTGACAATTGTTGTCAGCATCATTAATCATAATTTCTACCTACATGATTCTGATTTCATTTGTGTGAGTGTGCCTGGCATCATACACTTTAAACGGCCCAGATTGAGATGAGACTCATTGCCCTGAGCACTGGACAGAGCCTGCTGCCTGATGAAACATTCCTCAACCAACCAGGACAGATAAATGCAGAGATAGGTGGGTGGGTGGGTAGACAGACAGGTAGATTGATCAATCAGTATGTAGGAGATTTTAATATATAAATATTGACAATGATAGCTCAGTGATTCCTCCACCATTTCTAGATCTTTGCAACCCAATTCTAGGTCTTTGCATTCTTGACCCTGACTCACCCAGATGTTCCCATCCTGATGATAAGGTTTCCAGTTTCTCCCCGTGTCACTGTAGAGCATTCGGTATTGAGTCACCCAGTCTGAGCTGCTGTATCGTCCTTGGGTTGCGATGGCGCTGATCTGCTTCCGATTACCAAAGTCCACCTGAAGCCATTGATAATGGTCACTGTCCGAGGGAGACCATCCTCCAGCACCTAAAGAAGGCAGAGGCAAGAAGCAAAACTGAATATCTAAAGCTTAACTTGTACAATTGACAATGGATTATTCTATGTATCTTAATTGGCCTTGGCAGTGCTATATTTCACAGATATATTATGAAGTGTCCTTTAGAGATACCACTGGGACTTCAACTAATATTCTTCCAGCTGGGTAACATTGATTCTTTAACCTCTTTATGTTGTAATTATGCGCTCATTTTCTCTTGAGCAAATGTCTTCATAATTCGTCAATTAGATCTTATTAGTTCATGTCAAAGTCTAATTGGCTGAGAGTTGATCAATTTACCATGAACTCTCTAGCTAAAATCTTAGAGAAAAAAATATATAACTATCTAATTCCTTTCCCTTCATGACAGTTTTATTTTTTAGTAAATTAGATATTAAACAAAAAATCACACAATTATACATAACTCTAAAATATATTTTGCCTTGAGGAGTACAGAGTTCAAAGAGTATTAATATTTCTTAATTGGAACTTAATCTTACACTAAACCCCTGCTAAGTTGTATAAGACATCAGCAAGTATGTTTATTAACACCTAGGAGATACACAGCCAATGTTTTTGATAACCATATTTCTGGAAAAATAATGTGTTAGTAAACAAAATTAAACTTCTTTTGGAAATAAAAGTTCAATAGCATAGACTATCAAATAACAATAAAGTAAAAGCATTTACTAAGGACAGCCCATGGCACAGTGGTTAAGGCAGCTAGATTCCACATTGCCGACTGAGTGGTTAGAGTCCCCAGATCCAGTGACTTGAGAAACACATGGAGGAGGGACGCATCTCTGTCCAAAATCCTGAAAGAAGGGAGAGATGGAGGAGAGGGGATTTTGGTGTGACCATTCCATGGGAGCTGCTTTCTCACCTTCCCTCACTCTCTCTGTCTCTCTCCAGTGAGTGTTAATACCCTTTGGCAAATTAAACAGCCAAAAATTTATCAGGAAAATAGCACTAATGTAGAGCAAAAACATACTTTATTTTCAGCATACTTTCTTTCCTTTTATAGATTTCCATCCCAAAACACTCCCTAATTTTGTCTTAGAATATGTATCCTAAGAAAGCCAATCTATAATATCTCCTTGGGATCACTTTTCTGATAATCTGTTCACTAACAATTTTAGTTAAATGTTTCTGCTTTGTGATCTGTGTGTTACTTACATGCTGGTTTTTTTCCCTTTCTTTTTAATATTGTGGTGTCTAATACTTCCTTTAGTCATATATCATGCACATTCCTATTTTACTTAAAATTCTTTAAAATTTTGGAGGAGCCATAGAGCATTTTTTGAATAACAATTGACTCAGTCATCAAGAGATAATACAAATGTTTTCTAAATTGTAAAACATATAGTTGGAAACTTGAAGAAAATTCTTTTTTCAAAATACAAAGTTCTATCTATGTCAACATCAACAGGGAATTAATACAATAAGGGAAGAAACAGAAATACATCTGGTTGACTGGAATTATCTAGACTTTTCCCATGAGTGCCTTGTAAATGAATACTGCAGAATAAATTTTAAGTTATCTGTTTTTTTCCACATTAAAATTTTTCAGTAAGCAAACAATTAGCACACAGCTACTTAATCCCATTATCTCATTACTTCTAACAAAAGAGTGTTTATTGTCAACTTTAAGAGGAGCAAAACTAAAAACAGGGGAATATAAGTCAAACTTATTCCTTTGCAGAAGTATATGTGGCAAGAACAACAACCTTAAGGGAAGGGCAAATGTCAGGCTTTCATGAGGAATATATCGCAAAGATCGATGAAAAGTTTCCGGTTTCTCTTTGATCTATCAAGGAATGTAATTTGGGGAAGTTGATTACTTTGTTCATTTGGCTTGTGAAATGTGTAACCTCTATTGATCCAAGGATTAAGAATGATACCTCTTTCATCACAAAAGCCTTTGGAAAATGGTATATAAGAGGGCAAAAGTGCTGCCAATGTATTGAAGCAGCTGAAAGAAAGGGAGTGGAAGTTGAAGAGGAGGTAGAGACACTCAATAGTCAGTCATAAAGTCTGAATGTCCTGAAAGACTTAATAGCTCTTGCCTAGAGATAAGAGAGTCAAAATTACCAAGTAAATAACTAGTAAATTTTTGGAGTAACTTGAATGATGTGTACTTACAGAACTTACTATTCTCTGAAAAACAAGGACACCATCCCTTCACTCCCTTTCTCCATCATTTTCTTCCTTCCTCCTTTTCTCCCTTTCCACATCCCTCCTTTCTCCATTTCCCTGTTCACTTTTTCTGTTTCTCTTAATACAACACATTTCTCTCACTGTGTGCTCATGCACACACACACACACACACACACACACACACACACACGTGTGTCCTGTAACGATACAGTGTTAATATTCTATTGTAGATGTCCATTCTACTAGGGTTGCTGGAGGGATAAAGTACAGTACGAAACCTGGAAAAATTGGATGAAAACTAGCACTTTGAATGGCTGAAACTAACACTCTTTAACAAGACTGTACTTTTTGTTTTGTAAGTCAGTATCTCTGAAAGAAAACAGGAACTCAGCAGGTAGTTCAAGAGAGGGTATAGAACTTCTTTGCTTGTGATAAATGACTCCAGAATATACATGACATTAAACTGGTGGTTATATCTAGAATCCAGAGACTATCAGCCTGGATTCTAATTTAGAAGAAAACAAGAGAAAATTTTCAATTAAGGAGAGAACTACCTTTAATAACTGATTGAAAAATATGTATCAGATGAAAAGAATAAATTGCAAAGAAAACTCTAGGCAAGATAACATTATGAGTTAAGGTTTTAAAGCCTCCTTCTGCTCCAACTACATGGTATTTTTAGATAAGATAGATAAAAAGAAAATTGAAAAGACATAGCCAGGCTCGGAAAATAAGATAAGCATCTCCATGCCTGAGAGATGCAACCAAAATGCAGTAGAATGAGTAGGACTGGAGCTGAGGTCTGTGGAGTCAGGGCCTGGGAACATACAGAGGAAGCAGGGCTCTGGCTCCTATGGAATATTGGTTAATGGAAGTTCCCGGTATGCATCAGAGACAGGAAGCCTGAGTCAGGGCTGAAAATAAGACTGGTTCGGGAATAACTTGTTGTGAAAAGAGACTGAAGAAACCTGCTTACTCTCTTGGAGATAAGACTTATAGAAGAATATATGCCTGAAGAGGTTAGAAAATAGGCATATTTGAGATGAGTGAAGGCACCCACTGGCTTGGTGACTTGACCAAAAATTCCCTAATAACACTGCCAGGGAAAGGCACAGGGCCAGCAATGTAAGATATAATTTTAGCATGGCATTATGGGTTCCTGAGAAAGTTACAAAATGATAGAGACAAAAGGAAAGAGAAGACAGGAGAGGAAAGCAGTGAAAGAAGACAAAGAGGGATATTATTAAGAGGAATATACAAACCAAAATACAAATCAGAGGCAAGAAAGCAAATGCTACAAAGTCAACAAAAGAAACAAAGTCAAAACTTTAATAAAAATTAACTCCACATGTAATAGCAGTTGAGGACATATTTATTTTTTATTTACATATTTATTTACATACTTATTTCCACTGGTATTTCTCAGAAATACAAAGTGGGCAGGGGCCGGCAGGTGGCATGGTGTTTAAAGGTGCTGGATTCCCAAATGGGCGATCATGGTTCGAGTCCCAGACTTGGTGGCTCGCTCTCTTACTTTCCTTTTCTCTCTCTCTCTGTCTCTGTCTGGTCAGATTAAAAAAATAATAATGTGGGATCAGCAGTTGGCATAATGACTATGTCACTAGACTTGACAGAGTAGTAGACTGCGGTTCTAATCCTGGACGCAGTGCCTTAAAGTCACACTGGTCACATTTGCACACGTGACCAAGATCCCAAGAGGAGAATGATCCTGGACGCAGTGCCTTAAAGTCACACCGGGCACATTTGCACGTGTGACCAAGATCCCAAGAGGAGAATGGAGGAGAAGGGATTGCAGCATGGCCATCCCCCCTGGGGGGGGGGGTTGGGATTTTGTCTCTCTCTGTCTTTCTGGTAAGTGCACATGCCCTATAGTAAAAAGCTCTCCAAATAATAATAGTAACAACAACAACAACAACAACAATAACAACAAATGGAATTAAATAAACAATTTTTTAAAAAGAAAGAAATACAAAATGGGGCCAACTTCACTGTCTGGTGGTTAAGGCAGCCAATCCCACATAGCACAACTGTGACAGAGTCCCAGACCTAGCAGCCTGAAAAACACACCAGATACCTAGCATGCATGCCCAAAATCCCGAAAGGAAGGAGTGATGAAGAAGGTTGGCAGAGTGTTGCTTTCTCCTCTCACTCTTTCTTTCTTCCTCTCTCTCTCTTGCTCTTTCTCTCTCTCTCTGACAAGCAAATACCCTCTAGTAAAATAAATAAATAAATCTTTTAAATTAGCAGCAATTATGAGACACAACAGGGAGAAATAAAACATTTATAAGTATGATGAAATGACAGAAAGACAGAACTGTTTCTCTCCCATGCCTTCCTTCTCCAACTAGGATAACAGTTTTCAAATCGTTCTGGGAGGAGCAACCCAAGGAAGAGAGTATAGAAACTCTTCTCTGAGACAAGTTCAGACATAAGATGGATACAGCTGCTTTCATTTTTGCAAAACATTCAAATTTATATTATAGTCCTGGAACCAGCAGTTAGCATAATGGCTATGTCGCTGGACTCCCATGTAGCCGACTGCGTTTCGAGTCCCGGACCCGGAGGCTTAAACTCATGCCGGGTGTGTATGCGTGCAATCCCAAGATCCCTAGAGGAGAAA